GAAACAAGAAACTTACCTCCATGACCTAATCAGTATAAAATGGCAATATTAATGAGGCCTCACACTAAAACTGCCACCCAGGGCTGTGACTTTACACTGAGTGATACAGGAGTGAGCAGAAGAAAGCACTCATGGCCCTCCAGAGCCAAATGGGCATGTGCGGTTGGGGGCTGCGGAAGGGGGGGCACGGGGGGTGGCCAAGAGAGCTGGAGGAGGCTGAGGAGGGAGTGGGCACACCTCTAACGGAGCTGAGATGACACCCAACTTCCTCAGCAGCCACATCCACATTCAACTCCCGAGAGGGTAAGACACCAACCGGGCAAAGGTGCATTCATCCAAATGTCGCAGCACAACCCCCTGCTCCCTGGAAAGCAATCTCGAACCCCAACAGCAGCCACAGCGCCCTGGCCCAAGGACACACTGCCAAGGCGAGAGAACGTGCTTTCTTTTTCAGTTCTCCCTGGACTCCTGCCTCAAAACACACAGGTTTGGGCCGGAACTCTGCTTGACATTGCTGTTTCCAAATGCCAGCATTTGACGTTTCACTTTCCATGAGATTATACCGAGCAGTTTCTCTGATTTAGGTCTTTTGTTTGTCTTTACTAATGAAACAACTCTCAAACAGGAACGGAGATCTGAAAGACACAGCTAGGGGCCCCTTTGTTTGCCACGAAGAACACCCCGATTATTCCACAATAAAGCAAGCCACGCTGCAGAACGAGAACACACCCGGCCAGGAAAACTCGGTGTGAGGAGAAGCGTCTGAGCACACGTACCCTGTCCTTCCCCACGGGGAAGCACCTCTCTAGGACGGAGCCCTCGCAGAAGGCAGGTAAAAGGCATCAAGACTGAACCCCATGTCTCTATTCTTAGCATTCTACCCTGCAGGTGGTCTAGGACTGAGCTCCTGCGTGTGTGCGTGCACGTGTGCGTTCTGCATACTTTCCAGAATCTGACCCATGACACAGGTTTAAGCCAAGGTTTTCCCCACTTGTAAACAAGAATACACCTGATGGTAGCTTTTACCTTTACAAGATGCCTGGCAAGTTCGCTCAGCCCAAAAGCACATTTCCAACGGGAGGTTCAAAGGTGTTAGGAAGCCTCTCCTTTAAGGGACACAGCCCACCTTACTACAAACTAACACAAACTAGTCAGTCGCCTTATTTTATGGCTGGCAGCAGCAGAATGCTCTGCCGGTGCAGAATGCTCTGGGGCCTGAGCGGAGTCCTGCCCGCTTTGGTTTTGGGGGACCAGAGTCCGAGGAGAGAACAGGGTGCGCGCAGAGGTGCTGGAGGGCGGTGAGGTGGAGCCCTGGCCAGGCTGCCAAGAGGCAGGGAGAGGACGCTGGCAGCGCCCACGGTGCACAACCACCATCCCTGTCCACCTCAAGTTCCCGGGACTCCAAGAATCACCCTGGGAACCTCTCTAGTCCCTCCCCTCCACCCGGCTTGGCAGGCACGGTCTGTGGCCTGTCGTTTGCCACAGCTTGCAGCACGCCCCACAGCTCCGCACCCCCAGTCCTGGGGGAGCTCTGAGACCTTTTCCCTCGCCCAGCGCAGGCAACCCAGGCCGTGGAGTGACTTCTCAAAGTACACCTGACTCTCCGAAGCCACGCCGACTACCCAACGAACGTGGCCACTGTGCCCGCCAGGGTCCGGGGGACATGGCTTTAAGGCAAACGTGGTCCCTGCCCCTGGGAAACCACTTCTTAATGGGGTGGCGAGCCCGGAGTCATTTGCAGAACTAGCCGGTTAAAGCTGCGGCGGTAGCTGTGGCAGAGCCGGACGAGTGCTGCGGGTACTGAGCCGACCCTTGGCTGCTCTGACCCCAGCGTGGGTTGGGGAGGGGCTCGGAGGGAACGGACGGCTGGAGGGCTGCAGCGCTGTCCAGGCGAGGGTGACGGAGGCGTAGACGGTGCTGTGACGGCCGGGAGAGAAATACTAACACGGAGAAAGTGAAATGCAGCAAGGGTTAATCATGCATCATGCATTTTGAAGTTTCACTTTCCCCTGTGTTTCAGATTCAAAATACAGCCACCTTCGTGAGTCAGAAAGGAAAACCAGTCATTCTGAAATCAACATCCCAGTGAAGGAGAGAAAGAACTCTGGAGTTTGGAAATGGCAACAACCGGTGATGTGACACAGACACAGACACGGCAGACACACACACACACACACACACACACATCCCCCGCTTTTCCATCCCATGCTTTATGTGAAGGGCAGGGCCTCCGCCAGCACCTCACGGCAGCTTCAATGATGCCAGGCAAATGAGGAGCTCTTGAGACCACACCGCCTTTCCCCGCTTCGTCAACAAAGCTTCACTGGGCACCTACTGGGTCCCACATGCTCTCCTGGGCCCTGGAGAGACAGCAAAGAACAAAACCCAGCCCATGTCCTCAAAAGGCCACATTCCAGTGGGGCAGGTCCATCCCCGCCCCCCCCCCCCCCCCCCCGCAAAAAAAGGTAAAAGTTACAGTGTGTCGTATGGTGATAATATCTGGGAGAAAAACACAGCAGGGAAGGGAGATGGGAGTATTTGGATGGGGACGGTACAAAGTGAACCTTCAGAGAAGCCCTCACTGGGAGGTGACATGTGAGCAAAGAGGAGCGGGGGAGAACCCTAAGGGCACCTGGGGAGAGCGTTCCCAGCTGAGGCCTGGCCAGTGCAAGGTCCCAAGGCACACAGAGGTCCAGCCTGGCCCGCGGCACCCCTGAAACATCCCTTCTGGGCACTTCAAACCGCACGGTTGGGAGCCTGAGACACGGGGCTGCCCGTGAGGATCCAGGCACCTCCTGAACCGGAGCCTGATGACAGCCTCACCAACACTGTACCGTCCAGCATCAACCCAAGGCTCTGAGGTGCTGCTAAACAAACCACTGCCACGCCAAAAGCACCCCAGCAGTATCTCCTCCGCTCCAGCACTACGGGCACGAGGACACACAAACCCATCAGGAGCAGTCCTCCTCCTTCGTGGGATTCTGTGATTCCCTTCCTGCCTCAGCCACATTCGCCCGCCAAGGTCCTCAGCACAAGAGCAGTCTCCGGCCCTCTCCCGCACGGAGATGTTTACGGGATCAACTCGGTGCCCGTGCTTTCTCTTCCCACAGGCGTACCTCACCGGCACGGGTATGTTTAATAAAGAATTTTACTTCTGCATTTTAAAAAGATGATGGTTGCAATATTACCTTGTAAAGCATTTTTAAAGCGTCATTTGTGAAATGAAAAGCGAAAGGAAAAAAGCCCCCTCCCAGTCTCAGAGGTCCGAATGTTTATCTGGACTACAGATGGTATTCCAAAGGGCTGATATCTTGAAACATCTTGAGGCAGTAACTAAGCTGCACGGACAGCACGCTGACACCTCTAGGATCTGGAGGACACGTGCTGACCGGAGGCCGCGTGTCAGGCCCGCTCGGGGTCCGGTCAGGCTCCTGAGGCGCCCCCGTCCAGCCTGCCAGCCCTCGGCCCTGAGGGGGCAGCACAGCCCGGGGAGCCCCGGGAGCCCGGGGCGCCCAGACGACCCAGCGCCTGCAGGGGAATCATTCCCCCCCAGCACAGCCCCATCCGCTGGCCACCCACCTGGTGACCCAAAATTACGCTAAGTAAATACTTTGGGTTACTCAATAGCTTCTGAAATTTCAATCTCTAGAGAAGTTTAAAGCAACAAAACCATAGGTGCGCCTGTCCTTCAACCCTGCCCCCCACCCCGAACAAAAAGGAGCTGGGCACAGAGATGTTCTCAACAACAGGGCCCTCTGCCCGGTCCATGGGGGTTCTGATAGTTGGCCCTTCTTACGCAAAGACGTGCCTGCACCCCAAACCCACGCCCCTCACACCCAAGGGAAGGCTGTGGCCACCCGTGGCTCCCCGTGGCCAAAGCCCCGCATCAATGGCGCTCCTTTCCCACAGGCCATGCCCCAGCCCCCCACTCTTCCTCCACTACTTCCCACTCACAGCACCCCATCCATCTCCCCACCCCACGATGGGACCCCTTCTGTGCTTCCCTCCCTCGCCTCCTACGTGCTGTCAGGACAAGCGTCCGTAACCGCATCGCCACTAGGATCGGGGAGGGTGTGCCACGGCACAGCTCTATCAAGAACAAGGACGGACGGCTGTTCTCAATGAACTTGCTTAGCAAGAGTCAGCCATGGACTCTGGCTCCTTTGGGGTCTCTGGAAAAGGGGGTCTCGCCATGTCCCCCTTTTCCCAAATCCACCCAACGTAAACTTCCTTCTATACCTGTTACTGTGTCATGGTGAGTCACGGTAAGTGACACTGCCACCTGCTGTGCGCGCCCCACCTTTTCACAGCCCGCGCACAGGGCTTTGGAGAGGACTGCAACCGCCCCTTCCCAACAGCGTCTCTGACAGGAAGACAAGGACAGGTTTTAAACCACGGGCTTCCAAACAAACTTGGAAAATGTGGTCCGTATGTACAGTGTAGACTTCAAGATAGGTCATATGTAATCTGCAGACTTCAATTTGTTTCACGCAATTTGTATATAAGAACTTGAAGTTCCAACATGTCGTTGGACGTTCTGAGTACTGGGTCCAGCGGTCTCCTCGTAGAAGTAGAAACTCCCAAGGGAAAATTACTTTAAGATCCAATTACATTTTCATAACCACCAAAAACATATCGAGGCTCCATTTAACCATGTAGTACCTTGCTTAGCCACTGAGAGAGTTTAGGAAAATATCAGCATCAAAACATCCAGCTCCCGACATGCAAGCCTGTCAAATGTAACAAACATTTGATTGACAAGTAGATTGAAATGCAAAGGAAGCTGGGGTAAGGAAATAAATGGCCCGTGGATTTGGGGGCATTTCTTCCCCCCCCCCGCCCCCCGCCACCATCAAGTCTCACAGCAGACACCTCACCTCCTCCAAAGCAGCAGACAGCAGCTTCCCTAACCCTTAGAAGACTAACTGCCTGGTAGATGGGAGCTGCTTTTGAAAACACAGAGCCAAGTTTGTAAGGCATACCTCACAGACCGTGATTACCTGGTGGCAGGAGAGTGCTGCACGGAGCAGAGGAGGAAGTGGAGAGGTGAGACAGCTCATTCAGGTTTCAGGAGGCCTCTGCAGGTGTCTGGGGGAGAAGCCCACAGGAGGCTGGCAGAGGCGGCTTCCCAGGGCTCCTGCATCTGTCTCACAAGGGATGGGGCCAGCTGAAGCGGAGCTTTCTTCTCCAAAATGGTGTGCCCGAGTTGTGTTAGCATGGGAGACTCATGATTTCTCCTCCTCCGTTTTGAAATGGAAATACCTGACAATTACAAGGGACTTACCCATTCATCCCACTACCTGGTCGTCACTGAGCACCCACCAAACGCCCAATCCTGCCCGACCCCCGCGGGCTAGGAGGAGGGCCCTGAGTCAGAGCCAGGAGGCCAAGGAGCTGAACTTGAGGCTTGACTGATGTTCCTCGGGCCCTTCTGGACCTTACTTTATCTGTCTCTATACCTTTCACTCTTTAGAGAGGATGAAATGCAAATTAAGTAAGGATTTCAAATGAAGACTGAGCTTGGGCAGTTGGCAGCTCGACTCAGGGTCAATGTGATGAGAAACCGTCTTCCATTCTGAGAGGGAGACTTTAGATCTGCACTGGGACCGAGATTTAAAGCATGGGGGCCTACGCACCCCATATTTCAGCAACTACAGCTGGATTCTTGAAATGTGTCTTGGCTCTTAAGAGGTTTATTTCAGTTTCCACAAACCTGCTAAGGAAGAACCTTAAGTCCAGGATATCACAAGAACAAATAGCCCTGGATCATGTGGCTCAGTGGATTGAGTGCTGGCCTGTGACCCAAAGGGTCGCCGGTTTGATTTCCAGTCAGGGCACATGCCTGAGTTGTGGGCCAGGTCCCCGGCTGCGGGCGCGCACGAGAGGCAACCACATGCTGATGTTTCTCTCCGTCTCGTTCTCCCTCCCTTCCCCTATCTCTAGAAACAAGCAAACACACAAACAAATCTATCTGGAAGGGGGGCGGAAATAAGTAGATCCAAAATCTTAATCATTAGTGACTAAACTGTGTAAACCTTTTGCGTGTCAACTAGCCACAGGCCTCGGACAGACCGCTACAGTTACTGGTACCAGTAGAGAAGGGTTACCGCAGAACTGTTCGAACACGCACTCCGCTAGAGGAGGGTAGAGCACTGCTCCTCACTAGCTGTCTCACCTTGAACAAGTCACGTCACCTCTCTGTGGCTCAGACCCTTTATCTCAGTCAGGGAGAAGGAGAAAGGGAACTCCCAGGCTTGCTGTGAGGATTTAATGAGTAAATGCATGAAAAGCACTCAAGCTGAGCATGCCAGGAGCACCTTTACACTTAAAGAACACAGAGGATAAGGGAAAGCGTCCCCAAGCAGGGGCCATCAACTCATAAAAGAAGCCCCTCAAGCCCTCTCCAAGTGCTGTTTATTCATCTGCAGCTAAAACTGAACTAAGTGCATACTGCATCAACCAGGCCCAATTCTCACCGCGAGTCCGACAAAACAATACTGGAAGGCTGAGCTCCCCTAACACCCCAGCAGAGGAATCAAGATCAGGGCTTTCCTTGTATGGGCAAGATGCTGTCACAAAGCTTCAAGCTCCGGCCAGCAAGAGCAACGATCCCAGACTCAAAAAGGAAAGATGCCTTTCAGTGCCGCCTGGGTGCAGTGGGCTCTGGAGCTCTGAAGGCACCCGGACAGGCCCGGCAACAGGCCACGCAGAGGGAACACCGCCCCCTAGGACCCCGTGGTAAAGGGGTGGGAGGCTGCCATCAAACCCAACCGGCTCATCCCTAAAGGGACTCCGCTCTCAGGTCAGCTGTGCTCACCGACAAACAGCATTCTGCTAAGAACCTCCTCTCACCCCAAGAAAATCCGCAAGTCTAGGCCCACCTCAGAACACCAGCTGGAGATGGGGACAGCAACCACGGCCGCCTCGCCCACACCCAGGCTCCCACCGTGAGGAACCAGGGCGGAGCAGCAAAACTGAGGCCCCGAGTTCTAGGTCTGTGACATCGACCCACCCCTTGAGGGCTGCTGGCTGCTCCAGCAACAGACACAGGCGCAGGCGCAGGCGCTTTGTGAATGAAGTGTGCTCTAAGCTCCAGGGGAAGACAGGGCGTGGCTTACTGGCTCAGGTGGGGGGAGGGGATTCTGAGGCCCGAGATCCTGCCTGCCCGCGTGTGCTCCTAACAGGGACCGTGCCACACGCTCCGCCCACCTTGGCCTTTGACTGAGGGCAGATGGGGAGCCGGCACCCAAGAGACAAGCGGTCCCAATGCTCTCGTGCAGAGCAACGCACAGCAAAATGTAGCTTGTCCTACCCAGCGTGGACCCACACTTAGGAGATGAAGCTCCAGGTGGTGGCTGGCTGGATTTAAACAAAGACCAGACTAAGACTGTTTGTCCTGTGCCACAGAGCAGGGTGGGGAAAGGACAAGGAGGGAGGGAGAGGCGTTCGGTGGGCGCCCTCTCCCCGCCACAACCCCGCCGGTGGTCACCAAAGCTGTCCTCCCACTCTCTCCTCCAGCCCCTTGGAGCCTCTCAGCCAGCGAGAGGCAGGCGAGACCGGCAAAGTGCACAAGGTCGGGCTGCCAGCAGCCTGGCGTCCAGTCCGCGGGCACAGCTGGTCTCGGGACTCAGTCAACACCCGTGTCTGTGCATTTTACTAACTGCACCGTCAACAATAGCTCTGCACATGTGTCACCCCAAACATACTATGAAATGCTCAACTACAAGATGTCGTGGCATGGACACCGAAGCGCTGCTCACTTCCTGCGCTTGGGAACTGCCCAACGGCATACTTCACACACCGTGAACTTGATTAACGTGAACATCAGGATGCAGGTGACCTCTGGACCAGGGAGGGAAAGATTACGATCAGGAGGGCCGCTCGGGAGCAGGGGCGCTCCTAAGAACCTAGCAGAACCCTATGTTTAATGCAGGGTGGTGGCCACAAGCCAGTTTATGTTCATTCTTAAAAATTCTCATATAATTATATACACCCCTTACAGATACAGCTGTAAATACTACAGCGCAAAACTAAACTAATAAAATGTCACTTTTCCCCTCTACTTCTAAAAATCATAACTAACATCTGAATGCTTACCGTCTGCCACGCACTCTTCTGGCCATTTTACCTGCATTACCACGGTTACTCCTCAAAACAACTCTTGCTGTGAAAAACACTGGCATTCTTTTCACAGATGAGGGCACTGAGGCACAGAGCAGGTCCCTACCCACAGTCAGCACGCGCAGCAGTGAGGCTATATTCCAACTCCTTGCCCGCAACCCTTCTATCAGTTAGTACCAGTTGGTAGAGGGTGCGCGTGATGCTCATACGCCCTGTCAGCCAGGGACGGAGGAGTGGGGCGGGGCCAGTGGGGCGGGCCGGGAGGCTACTCTGGCAGGACCTTCGTGGCAGGCATTTAGCAAATCACCACCATGTAATACCTTAGACTTTTGCCCTTCTGACCTGGCACGTTCCTCCACACAGAATCCAGCAGAAACCGTCAGAAATTCAGAATAAGATTAATATTAAGAAAACATTCATTAAGAAACGACTCCTAACAACGGGAAACGGCCCATGTAAATGTCCATCAACAGGACCGCGGCTACTCTGGTTCACCCAAGAGAGGGGGATTACTAGGCAGCGTGGAGTGTGAGAGAAATGCCCACGCAAAAATGTCCAGTGAAAACAGCAGGAGACACAAACCAGACAACAGAGCTCCCAATCTGGTTAAAAGAAGACACAAAGGAAACAACGATGACCTCTGGGTGAGGGAGAGACAGACCACCCACTCGGTTCCCTGAAACTATTAACCTTGAGAACTGCCAAGGACAAAGGACAAAGTCCGCCACGGACAGGGTCAGCACAAACAGCAGGGGAGCTCCCTGAGGGTGGGCACCTCTCAGGGACTGGATCGCTGCCCACCTGCCCACCCACCAGGAGACACTGCTGATGATGCCACACGGGGCCCGCAGATCTTTTGGACTCCCTTCCGGGTCCTCAGTCCCTGCATCCGGGAAGGACTCAGATGGATAAGGACTACTTGCTAGCGAGCAGATGAATAAACTAGGGATTTCAGACACAGGTCCTGCGTGAGGGGCAGAAATCAATGGGGACCCGGCCCGGATATCCGACTTCTGCTTGTCAAGCCTGTCATCCTGGAGCTGCATCCAGAAAACACAGCAGCACTTCAAAGGTAATTAATTCAATGTGTACACTGAAGATTTCCATGTGTCTTGTTAAAAGCTTTACTCAGTAAAATCTATTATTAGTCAGAAAACAATACCTACCCTCTCCTGCCTTCTGTTTTGCTAACATTAACAATTTAACATATTGAAGGCGACAGCTAAAAGAGAAACTGAGTTTCTAATGTAAAGTCATGTTAATGACACACCAATTAAACACAAACCTTTCCTTGGGAATTACATGTATGCAGCAAACATTTCCCCCCACCATCTAGTCTGGGAATCTGAGCGACACCCAGCCTGATCCAAGATAGATTATCGGGTACGTGAGGGATGTGGGGAGGCCGCCAGGTGGTGAGCAAACAGGTCTCTCTCCTCTTTCCCACTCTCCAGCTTCCAACCCCAGCACCTTACAGGAAACCTCCTTCGGCCTCCAAGACCTCGAGGTCAAAAGCTAAAACAAAACCTAAAGCACGTGGGCACGTCCTTCCTCTGGGGCTCCAGCCCTACCGATCCCTCCTCCCTAGGACCCCCTTCCCCTCTCCCTCTCTCGTCCCCTCTGCCGGGCTGGGGACCCTCAGAGCTTCCCACCCCTCTGACTGCTGCAGCAGCCCCCTCACCTCCCCCTCACCGACCCTGTCGCAATAGCTCTGCCCTGCCCTCCTGTGTCCTTCGGCCCCAGTGTGGACTGAGCTGCGCTCTCTCCTTGCTGGCCCATGCCTTGTGTACCCCCAAGGAAACCGCGTCTCCCCAGGCAAGGTGCAAGATCCTTCACAGCGGCACAGAGACCTGGGGGAACTTCCCACAGTCTTTAGCGTGCTCTGGACTTCCTTCGCCCTCCATCAATGTTTCCCACGCGTGAACTCAGACCCACAGTGACATGGGTCAGCGTTCCAATAACCCCAACAGGCTATCCTGTAAGGAAAATGCCAGGTTAATGTGGTCAGACTTTTGTTTTTCAAAAACATCAGACACTTCTCTCTCCTGGAAATAGAAAACACCGCCCCCCCCCCGCCCCCAAATGCCACCGGCCATATAAATAAATGTCATCTGGCAGGAACACCCCTCCAAGCAGGGTAAACGTCCGTGCTTTGCGACGCAGAAGACAGCCCCAGCTTGTTTCTAACCGGGAACGCCTATCCTGACACCTGAAAAGGCACCGTAAACAGAGACGCTCTCTCTTCCTGGGCTCCTTATGTGCAAGTTTTGAAGAAAGAGTTTCTTACTGGGAACCACAATGGCCAATGAGACACAGGGACGTTGTCGCAGTGCTAACGGCCAACTCCCACACTAAAACTTCCCAACATCAGCAGCATGCAGAGAGAGATCTACTGCGCCTAGCATGACATTCAGCCACACCTCCACCGCTCACCAATTTCGGGTTCGCGTACCACAACCAAGGAAAGGAGGAGGAAGAAAAAGCAGGGCAGGCAGCCAGGCCAGTCTGTATTTTGCCTCGTCTTCGCCACCTGCAAGCACCTGGCACACGCCTGCAGGCTGGCCAGAGTCCCGGGTGAGCCTCCGACACCCTGAGGCCGGCCTGCCCGCTGCCAGGAGCCATCGCCATCATTTCCCTCCAATGTTTTCCACTTGTATCAGTGTCCCGTCTTTCTCCCTACCAATTCCTACCTCCATAACGGTCTTGCTTTTCCGGTGGTGGTGCAGAAGAGAGACTGGAAGGGCAAAGCTGTAGGTGGGTGGGA